GATACAAAGCTGGGGAGTCTGTACTGTCTGCACTCCCTCTCCAAGAAAAACCAAGGAACCAAAAAAAGAGTCCCCAACGGGAGACTCCTCTAAAATTTTGAGAATTTCGGCTATTTGGGGCTCCATAAGAATGTGTGCCCGGCTTCACGCGAGCGCGCGCGATCTTGCCTTGGCTGCCCAGCGCTGGCTCCAGGGGCGCTGGCGCCAGCGCCCAAGAGTCGCTGCTGTCTCAGCCGAACGGGCGCGGCACCAATGCAAAACGGCTGCAGGGCCTTCCAAGCAACTGCAAGAATTGCCCACAAAAATGCCCACAAAGAAAAAAATACTGAAAAAAAACTGCTCAAAGAAAGCGGCACATTTTGTGAACCATAACTGCCCACAAAAATCGCAAAAATGATTCGCCATTTTCAGTTTTTTGTGTTGGCTTGCTTCGTTGTTTCGCCTTGGTTCTTGCGAATTCTTTTTCAGAAATAAGAGATGCCATGCTAGGATGCCATGCTAGGATGCGATGCCAGAAGGCGTGTGAAAAACACCCCTCTCATAGGTTTTTCTTTTTCGCCGTCCATCTCCAAGTCATTTTGACATGTCCCATACCAATGCCTGGCGTCTCTTCAAAAACATACCAAAACGGCCGACTTGTTCACCTCTTCATTGACAGACTAGCCCACACGAGTCACAATCAAATTGTGGCAAAGGAGTCTGCCAAAAACCATGTAAGCATTGAAAGGGCTGATCCTTGACAATTGGGACCCCGTTGGCTTTGACCCCTCGCTTGCCCTTTCACACCGTTTTGAGATGTCCTTTCAGCATTCCTTTCAACATGTCCAACAAAAACATCCGATGGCGTGCGGATTCGTGCGGTTCCCATTTTTGGGGGAGTCTCAAAATAGGAAAACGGCGTCCTTTGCCCTTCAAGAAAGCACCTCAGAAAATGTAGGCATGAACCCAGAGGTTCCCCTTAAAGGAAACCACCAGTTGGATGGTTTTTCTCGCGGTCATTTGGCCATGGGTCATACCCTATGGCTCCATTTTGAGGCGGATGAACACCCACGTACCACCTATTTTGATACTCACCAGGGGTTTCCTGGGTCTTGACCCACAGCCACTTGTTTCCTCATTCCCTGCACATCTCTCGCGATCCGAACCAACCTCTCGGCTTCCGCGCCACACGAGCCGATGGCTCCCCAGGAGAGCCGCGCCTGGGTCGCCGCCACCAGCTCCAGCCTCGCGGCTCTTCGCGCCGGATCGCAGTCCGGGACTGGAGGCACTCGTGGCTTCTCGTTTTTGGCTTCAACCCGAACGCACATCCGAAGGCCCCGAATGCTTGAAACACAAATCCTCTATAGGCCTCTGAAAATCAGGAAGTGCAAACACATGCTCCTCGCTCCTTCAGATTTGAGACAAAACACAGCAAATGCCCACCATTTTGGACGGTCTGCAACAGGGTTTCATTTGTCCGCCCAAGCATCAGCACGCCAAAAGGCAGCTCAAGCAGATCTTGGCCGAAGCTCGATCTTCAAACCAAATCACAAAAAAGGGAGCCCTGAGGGGGCCCTGAGGTTTCCTGCGTGCTCCAAGCTTGAGGGCGTCCTTCTGCCCCTTCTGATGGAAACAAAAACGCGTCTCACGCTCGCGCGCACGGAGCCAGCGCGGCTTGGCCGCCGTGCGCGTCCACCCGCACCACGCAGCTGTGCGCAGGCGCCGGCTCGTCGGGGTAGGTGAAACCTCGGTCGCCAGGGTCCGAGGGCAGCACCTCGTCCCTCAGGACGCTGAAAGGAAGGCCTGGGAAGACGAACCACCTCCCTATGCCCATCGTTGCAAGGAGGGTGCCAAGCATTCCCCAGGAAAACCCTTTCTATGTTCGGAGGCTGCACCCTTTCTTGTGGTACAGGAAGACTGAAACCAACGTTAGGGGGTCCCCCAAAAGACGAGCCCAACACCCACCATTCTGCGAACCTCTGAACTGGGGTCGCAGGCATCTCCACGGAAACTCCTCCGGCGGCAATGGACCCAGGCACGAGCTGACTCGTCTTGTCCTTTCTTCTTCTTTTATTTTTTTGGGGAGGGTGCGGACGAGGGTGCGGACATGTCTTCTTCCTTATTTCATTTTTTTTTTGGGGGGGGAAGAGAGTGGACCGATGGAAAAAGTACTATCTCCCTTTTGGGCCTCCTTTTCAGGATCCCGAACCTGCGCGCGGCCCCCTTCTCCCCCGCCTCCAGACATCGGTCGAAGCCGCAGTCCAGGCGCGCCCCCGTCACCCGCAGCTCCTCGCAGGCCCCGGCGTTCGACGGTTTTTTTCTTCGAGGGATCCGATTTCTTTTGGGTGTGGCTCAAAATCGAAGAGCTGGGGTTACGCAGGTCGTGTCCATCCAAGGGGCCCAAAAATTGGTACAGCCTTCTGGCTGCGGAAGGAAAACGGCGAAAAAAAACACAATTCATCCACCTGGGTGTGTCTTTTTGCAGGGGAACCCCCCAATAAAAAATATAATGGGCAGTTGTCCTTTTGACTTCCCTTCAAAACCATCAAAACGGGGCACCCTAAAATAAAAACACACACCCACCCATTGTAGACTCCGCCCGGACAAAGGGACAGCCCTCCAGATTTTTGGGAGCTCTGCATCTGAGCCGCGTATGGCACAGGCACCAGGGAGCTGGTCGCGGCAGAGAAGCTACCGTCGGAGGAGTAGCACAGCCGGTAGACGCCTGCGACCAAACAAAAGGTGATGGAGTGTGCTACTGTGGATGAACTAAATCCGTTCCGCATCACTTAGAAACCATGGGTTGAAACCATGGCTTGTTGGAATTTTCAGGGGAATCGTATCGGGATACTGTCCATCCACCGTAGAAGGGTCTGAACAATCAGAACGGGCTTGTAAGCCATGGTCATGGGAGTAGAACGCTGATTAAAAAATCGCCCCTCTATACTACCCAAAGCTTCAAAGAAGCAAACCGGTAAATATCCGATCTGATTTCTGGTCGGACTATTCCTACCCTTCATGCACCAAGACTGGTGTTTGATTGTGCCGAGGAAGCCAGGTTCTCTCCTCCTTTCTCTCCACAGGCGAAACGGCACGGTTTGGTGGACCCCCCCCAAAAAAAAAAAAAACAAGAAGAGGCAGGAACCTGTTGCGGCTACGAATGGTTTGTGCAAGGAAAATGTCAAAGTGCGGAAAAGGGCAAAGGAAAACCCCATACCATACCCTGTTTCAGGCTGTCTGAAAATGAAGCTAAACTCAATCAGCTCGAGCTCCAGATCACAAATTCCTCCATCCATCTCTCCCAACTCCAAGCAATTTCTGACCTTCCGTGTCCTTCTCCCCAACCCTCAGTGGTCATTGGCTAGTGGACAAATATGCTGACCATTCCTAAAACTATAGAACATCCAGCCCATGGCTTGTGAACCCGATTTCGCCTTCTCGGCCTCCAGCCTCCCGGATTGGCCCCCTTTCAATAATGTTGCTTGAATATTATATATGTATATGTTCATATGTTCATTTGGATAAATATATATATATATGATGTATGTATATGTATATCTTACATATATATATATATATATATATATATATATACATACTAGTAAAAACACGAGGGACTGGGTCTCGAGCACAATCCACCAAGTTGCAAGCAACACTGCCTCATACATCATATTATATTCTATTCCCCCTGTGTCTTGGGGGCTTGATACATGCTGAGGTTGGCTTCTGTCCTCCTAATTCTTGCACCCCCGTGGGCTAGTTTGGCCTCTGTTGTCCTCTTGCACTGGTTGGCTTGCATATGTATATAATATGTATATATATATATATATCTATATATATATATATATGTTCTAGTAGAAACACGAGGGAGCAACACTGCCTAATACATCACTCGGGTCAGGCCTCCTTGCATGAAGGCGAAGTTCTGGGCCACGAGATCCCCATCTGCCACGGCCAGCTGCAGCGCGTTTCCGCTGAAGCCCAGGCCCTGTGGGCGCCCGGAGCACCCGCTCACCGAGGGCTGCGCGTCCGCCTGGAAAACACCAGCGGTCTCCCCCCCCAATCCAAATGGGTATGGCGGGTATTTCTCAAAATTGAAACCAGCAGGAATTGGACCGCAGGTTTTCGTCCTTGGTTCCATTTCTCAGGGCGCTCGCCATTTTGGGAGCCTTTTTTGACCGCCAAATCCTCGCAAGGCTTTGCCAGACCAAGGGCTGAGACCAAACATGGCAGGGGGGGGGGCCATCCCTTGAGCCTGAAAACCCTCAAGGCGTTTTAGCCTTGAAATAGCGCCCCAAACCCCCGTTTTCTCTCCTCCCACCCCCGCCCTTGCGGGGCCCCGGCCACCCACCCACCCCGGCACCTGCACCACGCAGAGCGCCGCCTGCAGCGCCGCGTCGAAGTCTGCGCTCGCCGCCGCGAGGCGCAGCTCTGTGAAGACCTCCCCCGCCTGCAGCGGCAGGTCCTGCGGAAGCTTCCGAATTCGGGGCGCGGAACGAGGGGCGCAACGGGGGATGGAGCAAGGGGCGGGGTTTGGGGTTGACTTTATGACTTTCCTTGGTCAGGGAAGCTTGTTTGGGGACTTGGCAAAACTTGAGAAAGAAACCAACCCTGCGTTGTGGGGCAAGATGAAACGGAGGTCAACAAAGCAGCTGGGAGAGAAGAAACGGTTATTCATCAATATGTCGGACTGTAGCCTTGGCTTTCTCTGTTCCGCTCCGATTTCGCTGTCCTGCGAGGGACCTGTGAGGGACAGGTTGTCCAGGGAGAAGGTCAGGTCTTCTGCTGCTGGCAAAGTAGTGATGTCCTGCAAGATAGGCGTCGCAAGATAGGCGTCGCACTCTCCTTTCATAAGTTTTCCCCAGAGCCCAACCCTCATCCCCATTCCACAAATATATACTTGTTTAATATACACCTCCTATGTCGTGAACGAGGCTCTGATCGGCTCTGATCGGCCCTGATCGGCCGAATCTAGCTGCCCGAGGCAATCAACATGAATCCCCAAGCATCAGGCGGGCGTC